GCCATGCCTTGAAGGTGGAGGGGTAACGGCAGGCCGGCAGATCCAGAGGTTGACAGCGGTTGTTCTTCCTCCTGCAGTGTCCGAGACTGGAGAGGCAGCTGGGGAGGAAGAGGAGGGAGAGGGGAGGCTTCAGATCAACGAGCGACCCAAGGGCGCTTTGAAGAGGAGGCAAAGCAAACAAGAACCCCCATCCGGTAAGCTCATCCCCCCAGTATTTCACTTCATGAGAGGCTGCACATTAATGGCACATTAACACAGTGGTCAGCACAGCTGCCTCACAGCGCTGGAGCTCTGGCTTCAATTCTGGACCTGGGGTGTTCTTCTGCGAGAAGTTTATACTCTCTGTCCCCCCCATGTTTATGTGAGTTTCCCCCAGACATGCCGGTAGGTTAACTGGCTTCTGAAAATTGGTCCTGATGTGAGTATATGTGACTGGGTGTCCCGAGATGGACTGGAGTCCTATCCAGGGTGTACCCCACCTTGCACCTGTTGCTTGCCCATAGAGGCACCAGTTCCTCTGTGATTTCGTACTGGTTAAAGAATAGAAAATGGATGGCTGGAAAGGAAAGCCTGTATCAGTGGTTCTCAGATTCGGTACTGGAGGATCCATGTACTGTACCTTCCAGTGTTCATTCCAACTGATCTTTCAACCACCGAGGCTAATTGAGCTTCTCTCTCGATAAGACCTGGGTTGTTTCTGTCTGCAAAGACATTTAGAAGTTTCCTTTCTCTCCTCAACCTGTCAATTAAACGGTTGCTGTCTTACTTCTGTCTGAAGAGCTCGTAAGAGATGTCCATAACTGGTGTCAGTTTTAATGTAATTAAAATAGAATCTCATTATAAATGTATTTAGAAAACATACATAAAATATATTTCCCAGACTCATTTAGTCTATACAGACAGTAGTTTGACTACGCAGACCAAAGAGACAGTTGGCTATAGCAGACAATATTACGACTATGCTGATGCTACTTCCACCACATAGACAGGACTTAGATCATGCAGTCAATATGTGGACCAAATGGTTAGAGTAAAGACAAAAACCTCTTTTCTAGCATAAAAAATATATAAGTTTTAGAGCACAAAGAGAAACCCGTCTCCAAAATAGACAGTCAGAAGTATTGATGACCTTCCCTGACTGTGAACACAAAAGATGTTGAATGTATGTTTGCCTCCTTTTTTTACTTTGGCACAGGGGACGAATCTGTGTTTTTAAAGGGAGTTAACTGGGCTCTGTTGACTTGCAGTGGCCGGTGATCAATCGTCTGAAAGGACCAAAGAGAGTTCTGGGAGACCAGAGGCCCCCGAGCTGAGGCTGGTGCTTCTGGGGGACTCTGGGGCCGGGAAGAGCGCCGTGGGAAACATCATCCTGGGCAGAGAAGCGTTCAGCTCCGACCCCGGGAGCGAGACGAAAGAGATCCAGAAGAGGAAGGGGCTGGTGGAGGGGTGGCGCGTTGCGGTGGTAGACGCGCCGGACTTGTCATCCACCAACGTCTCTGGACACTGGCGCCGAAGGGCCATCGATCAATGCGTCAACCTGTCGGCCCCAGGACCCCACGCGTTCCTCCTGGTCCTGCCGCTGGGCGGGGGCGCCGGCGAGGCGTGGGGATCGCTGGAGCGGGGGTTGGAAATGTTTGGCGAGGAGGTGTGGGGGTACACAATGGCCCTCTTCACCGGGCGCGGCGAGGAGGCGAGGGGCGCCACGGCCGAGGAGTGCCTGGGGTCGCGCGGTGAGGAGCTCCGTCGGCTCGCGGGCAGGTGCGGGAAGGGGTGCCATGTCCTCGACTGTGAGGACATGGAAGATCGGGCCCAGGTTGCCGCACTCCTGGAGAAAATCCAAATGAATCTCCCGTACTACAATAATAGCGCATACCGGAATGCGGAGTCCAAGATCAACCGCAAAATGGAAGAGATCCTGAGGGAGAAGCAGGAGAAAAAACAGAGGGAGGAGGACAAGCACCGGCGGAAGTACGAGAAGGAGCTGGAGAACTGGGTGCAGAAGATGCAGGCTGAAATCAGGGAGCAAGAGGACAAGATCAGGGAGCAAGAGGACAGGATAGCGGAGCTGGAGGAGAGGCTGGCCGGAGAGGGGGATCGGGAGCGGATCAGAACGCTCGAGGCCGAGCTGAGGAGGGAGCGGGCAGAGAGGGAGAGGCTGGAACAGGAGGTGGACGGGCTGAAGAGGGAGATGGAGAAGGAGAGGAGAGAACGGGAGAAGAGGCACCGGAGAGAGCTGGAGGAGATCCGCAGGGGCTACGAGGAAAGGGCGCGGGAGGAAGCAGAGAGGGACGCCGAGTGCGCTGAGGTTTTTGGGAGGCCGGACACTGAAACGGAAGCAGCGGCAGGGGGAACAACAGAAAGAAGAAGAGCCTCAGCTCACAGAAGAAGACAAACTACCTGCTGTTCCATCAGTTAGAGAGTCTCCTAATCCCAGCAGCTAACGTCCCAGGTTCCTTCAAGGAAACTTCATCTAAAGAGCAGTCAGCACAAGAGTTTGACAGGAGAGCAGAACAAATCGAGAAGATGACCGAGAGCTTAGCTGAAATGAAAAGGACAGAAAAGGAACTCAGGGGGGATTTCCAGGGGCAAATGGGTGAAATAACTCAGAAACATGAGCAGGAAATGGGAGAGTTAAGACAGAGATATGAGAGGGAGAAGGAGAGGGAAACAGAGCACCTGAGAGAGACAATATCACAGGAGCAGTGCAGACTGGAACAAGAGCTAAGAGTCAAGTATGAAGAAGAGATTAGTAGAAGAGAGAGAGAACTGAGTGAGCAATATGAAGAGAGAGAGACAGAGATGAGACAGGAGCAGAGAGAGAGGAAGCTCACAGAGGGATTTCCGAAAGAAATGGAGGAATGGAGACAGAAATATGAAGACCTGCAGAGGGAAATGCAGGCAGAGAAAGAGCAGTCAGCACAAGAGCTTGACAGGAGAGCAGAACAAATTGAGAAGATGACAGAGTTTAGTTGAAGAGCAACTGACAGTGAGACACCAGGAGGAACAGGCTCAGAGAGAGAGGGAGATTAAAGAGGGATTTCTGAAAGAGATGGAGGAATGGAGACAGAAGTGTGAAGACCTGCAGAGGGAAATGGAGGAGATGAAAAAGAGATCTACAGAGGAACAGCACAGAATGCAAGAAGAGCTGAGAGTCCACTATGAAGAGTTCAAAAGGAGAGAGACAGAGCTGAGAGAGCAATATGAAGAGAGAGAGAAGAGGAGAGAGACAGAGCTGAAGACAAAACTGGAAGAAGCAGAGAGGGAAAGAACAATCAGGGCCAGGTGTGAAGAGGAACTGCATGAGAAAGACAGAGAGCTCAGGGAAGAACTGAAGGAATTAAAACAGAAATACGAGGAGCTGCAGTGGGCTTCCCAGCAGTAGCGGACACTCCGGATTGGTTCCACAGTGGTTTTCTGAAGAAAGACACTGAGCTGGACATCAGGCGATGTGTTAGCCTGACCTCTCCGGGGCCTCACGAATTCAAATGTCCAGAGATTAGCAGAGTCGCTGAGCTTTTTCGGGGAGAAGGCCGAAAGTCACGCAATGATTCTGTTCACACGTGGGGAGGAACTGAAAGGCAAGACGCCCGAGGAGTTCGTTCAACAAGGCGGCAGGGACCTCCGACGACTCGTGCAAAAGTGCGGACACAGGTGGCACGTTCTCCGTGCTGGCAAAACAGCCAACCGTGTTCAAGTCACGGGACTTCTGGAGAAAATTGAGGAAATGCTGCAGGAAAGCCAGGGCAGTTTCTACAGCAATCTGAGGTACTGGGAGGTGGAAGAGAGCATCAGGGCTAGACAGAGGCAAATCATGAAGGAGAGATACGAGAGGGACCTGAACAGGAAGCAGGTGGAGCTGAAGGGGAAGTACCAGAGGGAGTACGAGGAGTGGGTGGAGGAAAACCTGAGGATCGATGAGAACAAGATGGAGGATCGAGAAGCATGGTATTACAGAGCTGCAGGAAACAATTAAGGAAGAGAGGGACAGGAAGAGGATGGGAGCTTTGATGAGAGAACTCAGGCAATGCTGGGAGGAGAGGCAAAGGAGAGAGTACGAGGAAACCAGTCACTTGCAGAAGCTGGAAGTAATGCACCGGAAGGAGAGTTTTGGGAGATCCGGGATCAGTCTACTGTGGACGGATTGGCGCAGACCCTACGAATTTAGGATAGGGAGTCAAGACGTTTGGGGAAGGGGACCGGAATGTGCGAGGAATGAGGAGATTTCCCAGGGGAGGAGGTGCTGGAGGAAGCGGGAGGAAAGCTACAGAAAACGCTGTGAGGACCGCTTCCGGGAAGAGATGGAAGAAGGTATTCAGACTGAAAAGAAAAAGGCGAGGGAAGAGGCGGAAAGGGGCCACGATCTTCCGATCCTCCAGGAGCCGAGCAACACAACCAACAGCACCCAGGCTTCCAGAAAGATCGGAGTCCCAGATTACAGCTGGAAGATTGAACCACACGTGAAGCTAAGAGAGCAGGAACCCTGGTAGAAAGTCATGAAAAGCTTGAGGACATTAAAAGGTTTACAGACTGAAGGAACGCTTATCATCCTGCTTGTGTCTATTAATCCCAGACCTCACCCAGCTGGTTCCTGAATGTACCCCAGGGGAGCCACCTTCCAGAAAGGGGATTCATCACATGATGACTGGACAAAGTAAAAAGCCAATTGATCTCTAAGTGAGTGGAACACAGACATTGATTGATAAGGGACCTGAAATCATCAAACAGCTCCGTACAAAGGGGTAGGGTGGGACAAGGAAGGAGCAAGACAAGGGTGGTGCCAAGTGAGGATCCCTGAGGTCTGTTCCGATTCCCAGGAGGATCTATAAGAAACACAAGATATTTTGGGATGAGAAGATGATCTCCAGCCGGGCAACATTGTGCAGAATATTTAACATCTCCCAACACTTCTAGACCCTAAGTTTTAGATTCTCAAGCTTCAGGAACTTCCAGATAGCCATTTATGATCATTTACAGTGGGATAAATTGTTTACAGTGGAAATGATGGGACTTGATTGAATTTGTCAGTTTTTGCTGCTGTTCTTTAGATACATTCTTTCTAATGATTTGTCTGCTTGATCTTAAACTCAAGAGAAAGTGCTTAGCAAAGCTAACAATGGATGAAAACTGTTATATCAATATTCATATTTAATATCAAAATCCATTTATAAGTAGTTCACGTGGGTAGCTGCATCAGCATTTGCAGTCTGCAATGTTTCGGCTGTGAAGCCTTCTTCAGGTGTGGAAGAGGGCTTCATAGCCAAAATGTTGTGTTTTCTCTCTTCTCTTTGCAGCATGGAAGAAACCTATTACTAGTTCCTATCCATTTATAATATTGTTTGTTAGAATTTTTTTCTAAGTTTTTGAAAAAAATTATCTTTGTTGAAATGTTTTCTAGCACATAAAAATAAATTTGATATGCGAAAGATCCATCTGTTTTTTGAATGATTTTTAAAAACATGGCCTGTAAGACTATCAATAAGGAGAACCATTTATTTGATATAATTTAAGGTAATAGGTGAGTTAAAGCTCATTTGGAATCAGTGACAGGCAGATAATGGGCTCAGGTGATTAAAGTGTTGCCAACCTTAATTGTAGCTCAAACAAATGTCACAGTGAAAACTTAATCATTTTCTTCCCTTTCATCTTTTCCTTCTCCTCCTTTCTTCTTCTCCACCTCCTCCATTTTCTTCCTTCTCCAGCCTCTTCATCACCTTCTTAGTCATCTCCTCCTTCTTCTTCTTCAACATCTTTTTGTTGGCTGTGGTGCAAGAGCTCACCGTCATGCTGGCAAGCAGAGAGGAACAGCACCTCCTGCCCTCCTTGACATGCATATAGAGAAAGGATGGAGGACTTGTTTGATAGGTTGGAAGGTTATTGGTGCCCACCTCAATCCCACAGAAACACCGCTGGAATTATCTGGAACAACGATTTAGGAGGAGACTGTTCCCTTTGTCCTGGAGATTCCAATTTAGGAAAAAAGGGATTGGAGGGGCTAGGCAGTGCGGTGGTGCTGTGGCTAAGGATTTGAGGCTGTGGCTGGAAGGTTGCCAGTTCGTATCCCATGCCTGGCAGAGCAATCCTACTCCGTTGACCCCCTGAGCAAGGGCCTTCACCCCAGCTGCTCCAGGGGTGCTGTATAAATGGCTGACCCTGCGCTTTGACCCCTGCTTCTCAGAACACTGATAAATAGTTTCAAAACCAGTTTCATCCCTCAAGCATCATAAACATCTCAAATTAGCACCTGCACTTAAAGGTACTGCACTGTTTGCACTACAGTATGTCCTGTCTTGGCTGTAGACAATGTAAGGTCTATTGTCTAAATGTATTGTCCATGTCTGTTTGTCATTTGTGTCTGTTTTTATTTCCTCTCATGTTACTGGGTACAGCTGAACAAGCAAGCATTCCAATACACTTGGTGTATATGTCAAATAAAGAAATCCTGAATCTTGAATCTTGATAACCAATTTAATGTCTAATTAAGATGTGGTTTCCAAATCTGAACAAGGTGCTAACTGAAAGGTGCCTCTAAATCCTACAGGAACCCAACAGTCCTACAGGACTATCAGGGATGCCCTCTCCTGGAATTCAGCGGTATGGAGATTCCGTGTGAGACAATATAATTTGTCTCTGAAGGATTGTCTTAGCGTGGCGTAGAGCTGTTTCAGTGTGAAATGGCGTTGTTTCTCTCCTGCATCTCTGTTTGCGCGACAGGAAGACTTTGACTGCAAGATGAAACCACACATCTGCCACAGAAACAAATGAAAGATCATCACAGCTTCTCTCAACAGTACTAAAACCTTTTCACTGTGACTGGTTCTTAAGAAATACGAAAGGATGGCGACTGAAGGTACCGAATATCTCATTTAACAGTCAGCTTGGTCGTTAGTCGTCTGACAGATGAATCTTGTTGTAGAGGAATGTGTTGCAGGTGAAACTGCCTTTACTTTCACTTTGAACACACCACACGCTCTCAGATTCAGCTTTTTTTATCTTGTATTTTTTAAAACAATCAACAAAGGACAAAATGTCACGATTCTCCTCAGATTTACTCAGATTTACTCAGCTCCAGGTCCAGTCATAATTGAGCATTTGAGCATTTGACCGTATGTGGCCGACAGATGCTGTCAGTTGAGTTAACGGTGAGAAGCAGGAAAACCCAGTTATATGGATCTAAGGCTACAGCTCCACGGAGCTGAAATAGTATGGAAATTATCTTCCAAGGAAACTCACAATGGATATCTGCTTCATATTTTTTATGTTATATATATTAAAGAAATGTATATATGTTGTGTTTTTATATACCCTATATTTGTTATATATGCCATATGTTAACACATTGATTTCACACTAATCATCTCTTTGCAACGTAGTGCACTTGTAAAGTGAGTGCAGACATGGTACAGATTAACTTAAATAAACATCCATCCATTTTATAAACTACTTTATTTAATACAGGGGCGTTGGAGCCTATCCAGGCAATTATCTGGCAAAAGGCAGGATACAGCCTGGGCAGGACACCAGTCCATTGCAGGGCATACACACGCTCACAGTAGGGCCTATATTCACAGAAGTCATTTAATCTAAAAGTATATGTGTGGACTGTGGGAGGATCCAGAGCACCTGGAGGTAACACACATGATCCCACACAGATAGCACCCCAGGTATTGAACCCAGGGCCTCAGGGAAGCAATGTTAACCACCATATATAAACATGCTTTCTAGGTGTGATTTAACATAGAAACAAATCTGTTTTCTCTGTAGTGGGGAGGAGAAAAAGAGAGGAGAAAGGACCCAGTGTGAGCTCCAGCGAACAAGTTCACCCATCTGAACTGAGGATCTTCCTTCTCGGAGCACTGGGGGTGGGGAAGAGTTTCACTGGCAATACGATCTTGGGAGGCTCGGTGTTTGAGTCCGAGTACTCCATAACCAGCGAATGTCAGAAGCGAGAGGGCATGGTGGCTGGGAGGCGGGTGGCAGTAGTTGAAGTCCCAGACTTATTCCATGCGGCACTGACGAGGGACAAGACTCTGGCCGAGAAGTGCCTGGCCCTCTGCTCTCCGGGGCCGCACGCTTTCCTTCTCGTCGTGCGGGTGGGGAAACTCACGACGGAGGAGGAGGACGCTCTGGAAGTGATCCGGAATGTCTTCGGGGAGGCGGCTTTGAAGCACACGATGATCCTTTTCAGCCACGGGGACGAGCTGAAGGGCCAGACGATTTAGCAGCATGTCGAAGAATCCGGGGACGACCTGAAGAAACTGCTTGAGAAATGTAGCAACAGGCATCATGTCCTCAACAACAAGAACGTGAGTGATAGGCTGCAGGTTACCCAACTGCTGGAGAAGATTGACCGGATGGTGGAAGAGAACGCTGGCTGGTACTACACAAAGAACATATATCAGGAGACCGAAGGAGCAATACGACTGAAGGAGCAGCAGTACAAGGAGGAATGATTCCAGAGAGAAGAGGAGTTGAAGTAGCAGCATGAAAATGAACTGAAAGAAAGAGAGAGGAGAACAGAGTAGGAGTTGAAAATTAGATTTGAGGATGAACTGTTCAGGAGAGAGCAGGAGCTGGAGAAGAGGTTTCAGGATGAACAGCCCAGGAGAGAACAGGAGCTGGAGAAGAGGTTTCGCGTTATGTTTATCGTCGCATCGATTTCTACAGACGTTTTTGTATGGAATGATGGAGCATTGGCCGAGGTTTTTAAATCGCATTCATAATATTCGATCCACCCTCACAGATGTTATCAGTAGGTTGTTTGTCTTTCAACAAATGTTGCAACTTTGACTTTTTTTTTGCTGTTGCAGAAATGTTATTTTGCTGATAGCTCGATCCGTCAATGCGGTGTGTAGATTGTCAAAACGTGTGTGCATTCTGAAGTCAATTGGATTTGTTACACAGTAATCTAATGAAGAATAGTGGGGTGGTGAATGAATTACGTTTTTCACTATTTTCCAAGATAATGTGCTTTGATTGTTTCCATTTGTTAGGTTTTTCAGCTTTATTCCTAGTACTGTGTTAACTAAAAACGCGAGTAAAAGCGCGAACTATAAATGAAAACATTAGCTTAAAATGACATTTATAGTGACTGTCCCTTTAAGCGACAGTGAAAGGCCGTGGCTTTGTGCATTTCCTACAAACATTCACAACACCCCCATTTCTAGCGGCCATTTAAAGGTAAGAAACATCACTAACCACGACTACGATTACATGTACAGTGATTGAGTACAACTACAAATACAAGTTACACATACTGTACAAATACATTTACTAATACAAATACAGTTAATTAATACAAATGCAAGTTACAAATACGAATACAGTTAATGAGTACAAATACAGTTATTGGCCTACAGTAATTATGACAGCAGTCTGCAGTTCCTCATGGTGAGAGGCCAGGCAGTCCGTGACCTGCATCACTCTTGTACTATTTCTTTTGTTTTTTTTTCATTTTCTTTATTCTTCTCCGATTGATCAGTACATCCATCGTCCCTCCCCCCCAACCCTCAGTTAAAGAAAGAAAAGTGATTTTCACAACCTGAATTAAAAACAGAATATACAACATATGGGCTCCCCCAAATACACCACACTGCAAACTCTTAGTCATTTTCTATCCACATACAACCAAACCAGAAAAAAATATAAAACTATATATATACAACTCTTTCCTCCCAATGTTTTTATCAATATTTTACTCCTCTCCCCTGCTTTTATGTTCTCTTCCCATACCCCTTTCCTTCCTCTTTTCTCATTTCTTTTGTCTCCTTGGCTACTTTCCCTTTTCCCTTCATTTTAATTTTATGTTATTTTTTTTTCCACCCTTCGAATATTGTTTCATTCAAGATTCCAAGACCCACTCAGCTCAGACCAGTCCTGTGTCCTAAAACTTCAGTCAAATTGACCTTTGTCTCTATGCACATATACTGTACGCTGATACCTCTCTGCTAAAGTAATCAGATCTGCGCCTTTGTTTGTGTAGGTATCAGGTTGAAGGAGGGGCTGAACAAGTGTACATTTTGTGGTTTACCTCTGTATGGAATAGCTAAGAATGTGCCATTGTTAACAAGCCATGCAATTAACCTATTTAATGATCATTCAAAAACAAGGGTGTGTGCAACTATATGACAATGCTGACATGTCGAGTAGAATTCTTCTCATAGCTTTGGGTTGGGGTGAAATACCTCTCTTTTAATCATAGGAGTCTGGTTCAACGGCAAGTCATTCCATTGATATTGTAGAACGTTTAAAGATAAATGAAGACATTAGAATATAACATCCATCCTCTCGAGTGATGTGACTGTTGGACCTGGGTTCAGTTCTTCGCCTTGTGCTTCAGTCTGTGTGGAGTTTGCATGTTCCCCCCTTCCCCTGTGTTTCCCCGTCTTGCACCCTCTGGGGTCAGATCTGCCAGCAGAGGGACAGAGCAGTTGCTCTCTCAGTCCTGTCTGGTGTCCTGTACTCACAACTATACTCTCCTATACTCTCAGTCCTGTCCGATGTCCTGTACTCACAACTATACTCTCCTATACTCTCAGTTCTGCCCGGTGTCCTGTACTCACAACTATGCTCTCAGTCCTGTCTGGTGACCTGTACTCACAACTATACTCTCCTATACTCTCAGTCCTGTCCGGTGTTCTGTTCTCACAACTGTACTCTGTCCTGTCCAGTGACCTGTCCTCACAACTATACTCTCAGTCCTGTCTGGTGACCTGTACTCACAACTATACTCTCCTATACTCCTCAGTCCTGACCGGTGTCCTATACACAAAACTATACTCTCCAGTACTCTCAGTCCTGTCCAGTGTCCTGTATTCACACATATACTCTCCTATACTCTCAATCCTGTCCAGAGTCCTATGCACGCACATATACTCTCAGTCCTGTCTGGTGTCCTGTACTCACAACTATACTCTCAGTCCTGCCTGGTGACCTGTACTCACAACTATACTCTCAATCTTGTCCGGTGACCTGTACTCACAACTATACTCTCCTATACTTTCAGTCCTGACCGGTGTCCTATCCTCACAACTATACTCTCCAGTACTTTCAGTCCTGCCCAGTGTCCTGTACTCACAACTTTACTCTCCTATACTCTCAGTCCTGTCCTCTCAACTATACTCTCCAGTACTCTCAGTCCTGTCCGGTGTCCTTTACTCACAACTTTACTCTCTGTCCTGTCCTCCTAACTATAATCTCCAGTACTCTCAGTCCTGTCTTCATAGCTATACTCTCCTATACTCTCAGT